GCCTTTGTTTCCTCCATCTCTGCCGTCTCTGTCCTTCCCACCTGGCGTGGGGAAGGCTTTAGTGTGGGTTCTTAAAGACAGCATTCATTTCACATATTTAGCTCCAAAAGGAAAGAGCTTTAATACCTTCTCTGATGATGAAGGTCAATTCAGGTTTTTATAAAAAAAGGAGGACCCCTTTTTTGCATACTGGAGCTGACACTGATTTTAAAAAAAAAAAGGAGCCTCAAACTAGGATTGTCACCCTGATAGCATCTAACTCAGGGTTTTACAATCAGTGGAAAATTCCTCTTCTTCCATCAGAATCTGGGTGGTCCCCTCATGCGCCTCTTCTTGGGCCCCTTTGATGACCTGGGCGGTGGCGGCAGTGAACGCCATCATGATACCCTGCCTGCTGCAGGGGTGGCAGCTGCATTTTTTTCTTCCACTTTGGCCTTTCTGAGGATGGTGCCCCTCCTATGAGATGGTGCCCCTTCTGATATGTTCTGAAAGCACAGGAAGCCAGGAGTCTGGTGCTTGTCTTCATTGCTCATCTGTAATCTCAGTGCTCAAATCCATGTCTGCACAGAACTCCAGCCACCTTTCAGGTCCGTTGCGCCAACGACTCATGCTCATGCAGAGGTGGAGGGGACAGGAAAGCAGAAGAACCAGGGTGCTCTCAGCGCTGGGCTTGACAGTTTAATACTTGGTCCCATAAATCACCTTACTCACCCTATAAGATAAGAGGTGGTATTTTTCATTTTACTGATGTGGATGCTGAAATCTTAGAGGTTGTCGTTCACCTGGTACACAACTAACAAGTTGTGGAATTTGAAATCTGTAACTCGTGATTGCTAAGTTTGTGATCTTTCTGCTACCTGCACCTTAAAATTCAAAAACCCAGGGCCAGGACCTCCTTTCTACACACAGTTCCTGGCAAACACAGCCCCTTCTTTATAAAGGCTTGATTCCTTCAATGGCTTCTTTAGAAACTTCATCCCCAGAGCTCCAAGACCTGACATCATAGGAAAAGCAATGTTAAGCTCCACACCCCTGTCGGCACTTCAGTGGGCTGAAGGTTGTGTTGCTTTCCAGACTAAGAAAATGGAGAGTTGGCAATCTTATTCGGTGAAACAATTCAGGTCAATTCAACATCTGTCTCCAGGCTAGATGAAGATTCTTGTAGCTCTGATGGGACAGATGACTGGGACACCGTGCCAACCAGGTCTCTATTTCACTTACTGTCATTTCATATTAAGGTTGAAAATTGGGGTGAGCACTTTGATTGTCCAGTGTGTGCACATATGTGGGTGTGTGTTTCTTTTAACAAAATGCATTTCTTTATCTTTATGCCATTTGATAGTCCAGCTATGGTCTCTAAACTGCTGTAGTTCTGGGGCTTGGTGAACTACAGTGTGTGAGCCATATCTAGCCCACTGCCCGTTTTTGTAAATCAAGTTTTTATTAGAACACAGCCACACTCATTTGCATTATGTCTGGGAGCTTTCACGTTGTAAGAATTGAGGAATTGCATCAGAGACCATGTGGTGCTTAAAGCTGACAATATTTACTGTTGCTCTTTACAGAAAAGTTTGCTGACCTCTCTCCTAAGTTTAAAGAAAAGAAATAAGCTCACAAGCCCTGGAGAAAACTTTCCCAGCATCTCCTTGGTCAGTAATAACATACCAGGATGAAGCACTCACACCATGGCCAACCCTGAGTACATTCATAATTTCAGCAAATAATGATGCTCCTCTATTCCACTACATTTCTTCCCTGGTAACCACAATAGAGGCACCACTAATGAGCCAGCTGACCTTGAACTAGGCACCCACCTTTCTACATAAGATTCCTCACCAATAAAATTAAACACTTAAGTATTTATTATATATATATATTTCCTACAGAAAAACATGTGTATATGTAAACTATATATAAATACATGTCATATGTATGTGTGTTATATATTTATACATGCTAACATGTTTAAAGAGACATTGTCATATATATATGTATATGTTTATATATATAGTTTTAAAAGGAATAATAAACATCAAATAAAGTGATAGAATAAGAAGACCCATTTCCCTACCATCCAGCTTGGCCTCTAGAACCTTGTGGAATACTTTGAAGCCCCTCTGGGCACCCATTCGGTAACGTCCCCTTCCTCCCCCAGGAGCAGCCAGCTCAGTTTGGTTAAATCATCCTATTGCTTTTCCTCTGTGGTTGTATTGGTTAGTTTCCCCTGAACCTTTTTTTTTAATGAACATTTTCAAAGCCCATCAGATTTTGTGTTTCATTGGCATTACTTCCTTTTCTTGGTGATAAACTCTCTGTTTTAAAATGTCATAAGGGCTAGCAGTCCAGCAAACACAGTACTGCCCAGTGATGCTCAGTAAATACTCTTGAAATACTCTGCAGGCCTTTCTTTTCCCTTCGGTGGTGATGGTGCGCTGGGGACAGGGTGCAGCAGACTTATGGGCTAGTTCAGACAGGGCTCCTCTGCTGCTGAGGTTTTGTGATCCTGTGCTGGGCCGAAAGAAAGTTGGTATGTCCAAAGGGAGCCCTTGAGTGTGCCGGCCTCAGATTGGTCAAGTCTGCGAGGAGAGGGGTGATGGGAGGGGGCCCCGGGGATGAGCATTGCTGACCCATTGCGGGCCAGTTTGTGTGAGTTGACTCCATGCTTTCATAGTAAAAGAATAACATTAAACCTGATTTGTGGGCCTTAAATTTAGCTTCCAGTCAATTTTAGTCAAGGGAAATCTCATATCCATTCTTTGTGTTTTTCTTTATTTTGTGGCTGAATAAAAAAGGTATAAAGATTAGGTTTTGGAAGAAGGAGCTGTTCTTAAGCTTATGCCTTTTAAGTTCTGTAATTACTCTGTAAAGGCGTGCATTTGCAACAGGAATGCATTTAGTTGTGAGTTTTAGTGCCCAGTATACAGAGCATTTATAATGATGAGAGTACTTCTAAAAATAAACCAACTCTATAGAAAATGTTAATAAGCTCATCCCTAGGGACCATAGTGAGTATCTCTATTGCACAAATGAGGAAATGGACATGACAGGTAGAGGTTTGCCCAAAGCCACCCTGTCATTGGCATTGTGAAGATTTAAGCAAAGGTCCCACAACAAGAAAAAACAGTCGTGGTTTCATCAAAGACACTGTGGGCCTTAGTAAAATTTACCTAAATTAAGATTAAAGGACTAATAAGCCTTTGGGTATTTGGAAGACATCAACCACAAAGAGCTGGCTTGCTCCTTAAAGTTACCTGCAGTTTTAAATAGGACATGGTTTTTTTTGAGGCGTCTGTTTATTTGAAATCAAAAACTCTACCTCGGTCTAAACATTGCTATGAAAACTGAAAAGCAACTGGTTCACGAATATTTCCCACTGCCAGGGAAAATTGTGTGACAAGTACAGTAATGTCTCAATCTGTGGCAGTTTTACTTTTATAGTTGACAAGAAAGCAGCCTTCTACGAGGAACTTATTTCCGAAAACCGCTTTCAAGGGGTTGAATGGGGATGTGTCTGCAGCTTTCAGGTCATCTGCCTCAACAGGATTGCATGGGAGAGTAAGGATTTGTATGGAGGAACCACAGAGTCCTCCATTTTCAAAGAAACCTCTGGAATTAGTACTGCTCTTTTCTTAGGCAGAAATTGAGAGTGGAGCAAAAAATATTTTCTCCTCCTGGTTAACCTCTAGTTAATTGGAAATTTCTATTAACCATAACAGGAAGCTTCTCTTTATTCACCTCTTTTCCTTTCTTCCCTAAGCTTCACTTGGAAATTTGCCATGCCCCTATTTCCTTTTTTTTTTTGAGTAGCAAATGCTTTAAAGACATGGTTCACTATAATAACTCTGGCATCTGGGCATGTAAATATGGCTTCATTCAAAGACATGGTATTGACTCAGACAGAGGGCTCACCCACCTGCTGTGATAAACTATCAGAGTCTTTACTATGAGGTTATAAATACATCCCACATATACATTTGGGCAAAGCCAGTGTGTGACTACAGAGAGAAGGTGCAATAAAGAGGATGACGTCAAAGCCTGCTACTGAGGTCCTCACAGAGGGTCAGTTCCGGGTGCTTATTTGGAGTTTACAGATTATGAAATTTGATTTTGGCATTTTACCCTGCGTTCATCAGATTGGGGGGCTGCAGACCTACACCGGCTGAGTTTACAAGTGACTGATAAGCCAGAGCAACACTCTGTTACATTATCCAGCATTCAACCCAACCCACCCACCTTTGTGATATTGGGCAAATTGCCTAACTTTTCTAAGTGTTTTTTTCTTACCTATGCAATTGGAATGTTGATGCCTTATAAAGATGTTCGATTAATGCCTTAACATAATACATGGGAGATAGTAGCTATTGTTACTATACTGTCATTTGAGTTGTCCCCATTACAACTGAGCAAGTCAATTTAGGAGACTGAATAACAGATCAGAAGTTGCTTGTTGAGAATTAAGAGCATGAGAAGTCAGAAGCTCTGAATACCTCGCCTGGGCTGGAACGGCTGGGCAGGTAGGTGCATCATTAGTCGACATAAAGGCACCACTGCCAGTTGCTGAACCCCCTTTACCTAGACAGTGCTGGATAAACTCCAGCAGGGCAATCTGTGGCTTACCTCTTTCTAATTTTATGAAGTCACCACTTTTTAAATCTATGAGCCTCTAATTTATGTGGTAACAGTTTTTAGCAGTAACAAAGGAATCTGATGACTTTGGGTTTGGATTTCAAAACATCTTTTTAAGGCTATTTATTATACTTCCAGGATCGCTCCTTATTCTGGTTCCAGCTTTACGAAACGAAGCTTGTAGGAGGATAGCTAACGTTAGTCCACAGCGTGGCCAGCGTGTGCTGAGTGCTTACAGAAGGCAATGCACTCCGTTTAACATATAGCAATGGGAAAACATGCTTCTTTTAGTTCATTAAAACAGAGCAGTTTTATCCAAGACCTTCCTTCATGTGCCTGTTTTTGTTTTTGATTTCACCTTCTCTCTGGTTTAGGCATTGATATCCTGAAGCTCGTAGCAGCCCAAGTGGGAAGCCAGTGGCAGGACATCTATCAGTTCCTGTGCAATGCGAGTGAGCGGGAAGTGGCTGCTTTCTCCAACGGGTACACGGCGGACCACGAGCGGGCCTACGCGGCGCTGCAGCACTGGACCATCCGGGGGCCTGAGGCCAGCCTCGCCCAGTTAATTAGCGCCCTGCGTCAGCACCGGCGCAATGATGTGGTGGAGAAGATTCGAGGGCTAATGGAAGATACAACCCAGGTAACGTAGCCCTAGTTGTCTCTCTCCCACCAACATTTTGGACCCTGTATATCAACTTTTACCAGATATATTTGTTAAGGAAAAATAACTGATACTAGGTATTTAGGTTCACACACGCACACCCTTCTAGGGTAATGGTTTGTGTTTTTTTTTTTTTTTTAGGGCAATGGTTTTTAATGGCTGTCCATTAGAATCATCTAGAGAACTTTAAAAAACATTCTTATATTCAGACCCCAAGCACACGTCATTGGTTGGGTGGCCAATGGGAAGTTACTTCAACTTCCGTTGCTTCTGTTATCTCATTTGTAAGCCAACTTTATAAGGTTAATTAAGACTGGAAATAACGTATATAAAATGTGTGATACATTGAAGGTGTTCTACAAATGACAGTCACGATCCTAATGTAGCTCATTTTACTTAGCCCTTCCTTAATTATAATATGCTTTCCTGAAAGGCCATGAATTAAGTACAGATTTTGGTATTTTTTTTATTTTGGTACCATTAATCTATGATTACATGAGGAACATTATGTTTACTAGACTCCCCCCATCACCAAGGCCCCCCCACATACCTCATGGTTGCATTTCTCACAGACTCTGATTAAAGTTTTGGAATATACTCCCAAAGTAAAGAAAATACTGGGACTGAGACTTGATAAAAAAAAATCCACTTAAAATGTAAAGGGGCCTTGCCGTGTGTGTTGTTTTACTACGGTCCAAACTCATTACCTAATAGAGCTAGGAGAGATTATTTTCCCCATCAACTCTAGTTCACTACCATTCTGCATCAAATTTCGTGTAGCCAGAGACTCAATTTCATAAATTAACAAGTCCAAATGCTTTATCCTCTTACAGTAACAGTGTAGTGTTTCTTCACTATGGAAGTAAACGTTTATCAGGTGCATCTTTTATCTTGGATAAAAATTTATAGGTGCTAATTGACTCTGAAGGTGGTCTGTAAAGCTCCTGGCATATTTTTGACTTGTTTGAGATGTGGAATTTCAGGGAAAAAATTTACTAATAGTTGCAGTGGTAAATGTTCAAAGGCACACACCAGTGTCTTGTGACTTTCTGAGAAATGATCTCAGTAAGTATGCCTTACAACTCAAAGTAAAGTTTCAGTAGCTGGATTTTAGGGAAGGAAAAGGAGATGTTTAATCTTCAATTAAATAAAATGGCTACAGGTCAATTAAAGGGAGTCCAGAAGAAGCAAATATTATCTATGCTTCCTTGGCATATTGGCTTTTGAGGACAGAACTGAGAGGGCAAGTAACAGATTTGAATGAGGATTCAGATACTTGAGTATAAGTCACTCGATTTCCTTGATGATGCCTATAAGAAATATAAAATGTGATCAATGCAATGTTAGGATCTGGTTAAATGGAATACTTAACAAAGTGGAAAGATGATCATGATGTATTCTTAAAGGAAAAGAAAGTTTCTTAGAAAAAATGAGTATAAGCATAGCAAACTATAAATATAGGAAAATGAAACAGTGTGAATGTTAATGCCATGGTTATTAAATCTAGGTGGTAGAATTAGAAGTGATTTTCCTGTCTTGTTTTCTGTAATGAAAACATACTGCTCTTGTGATTTAAAAAGTTTTTTAAAATGACAAGGCTGAAAGGGCAAAAGGAAAGGGTAGGAGGGCTTTGTCTATGCTTAACTGAGGGTGAGCCATCCTTATTGTGATTTAGGGAGAACAAACAGTGGTTTATGTGGCAATCCATTTGCCTTCTTAGGATTGACTGAGGTTTGCAATACTGGGTCATATTTGCCAAATATATTTTGGGGAGGGAAGTGATGGTGGCAGTGATCTGACCATAACAAATGACCTTTGTATGTTTTTTTATTGTTCTGGTGAGTTCCCTGTTTATTAAGCACCTACTTTATTCCAGATACTATTATAGATGCTGGGAAATGTGGGCCCCAAGTCCCCATGAAGAAGACTCCATATCACGAAGAGTGATTCATAACAAGCATCACTGGGTTAATGAATAAGAAAACAAAACGCTTAGTCCCTAAGTGCCACCTCTCATACCCATTAGTACTTTCCTTCCTCTTACCTCCTCTAGGTACAAAAAGATGCTGGTATATGTTTTTGTTATTTAGTTTTTGAGAAACTGGCATCAAAGCATCCTATAGCTTTGTCTCTGGTTCTAGTGTAGCCCATGTGTTATGATGGAGGCTGAGAAGACAATATTAAGCTTGTTTTTTCCATGTGTTGATGATGTCCATTTTTGTCTCACAGCATTCTGGACCCAACTCTGGCTTTAATTTTTTGATAGCCCATGAGCATGGATTTTGGGCTACTGGTTCTTATTAATCACATAGCATGTAATTGTCTATTCATGGTTTATCTCCAAGATTTGCCAAGTCAAACAAGAGAATCAGTGCATAGGGGGCATAATTGAGACTTATTCTTCCCCTTTATGATGGATTTGTATTCTTTGTGTATTGTGGTACTGCCAGGTATATGAGACTTTGCCCCAGGAGTTAATGGACTCTTAATGTGTAAAAATGACTGAGTGTGTGTCTGTTTAAAATGGTTAATGTTTTTTCCTATTCATGGGTCTCAGAGCACCTATGTTATGTTCTACTCAAAGGATTAGCCCTGGTGTGCCTTTTAGTTACCTCTGTCAAGAACATCTGTCTATTATTAATCAGAGTGGCCTGTTAGCTAGTTTTTAATTAAATGCATCCAGAGTCTGACTTCTTCTTTGTTAAAAATATTTTTTATGCATTAAAAAATTGTGTAGTAAAATTCACTTCTTGATGTATTGTTAAGTTCTTTTTTTAAAAAAACAAGACTTAATTCTTTTGATCAGTTTTAGGTTTAAAACAAAACTGAGAGGGAGGTCAGGGATTAGCCATGCACCCCCTGCCCTCATATGTGCACAGTGTCCCTCATTATCAATAATGACTCACCAGAAAGGTGCGTCTTTTACCAAGCAAGGGTGAACCTACATTGACACATACTCACCCATAGTCTGTATTTTACCTTAAGGTTCACTCTTGGTGTTGTATATCCTATCAAGTTGGACAAATATAACAAATATGTAATGACATATATCCATTATGATTTCATACCGAATATTTTCAGTGCCCTCAAAATCCTCTGTGCTTTGTCTGTTTATCTGTTCCTCCTCACTCCTGGCAACTCGTAATCTTTTTATTGTCTCCATAGTTCTGCTTCTTTCAGGATGTTGTAATGCAATATGTAGCCTTTCTTTCACTTGATCATATGCATTTAAAGATCTTCCAAGTCTTTTCATGACTTGATAGCTCATATTTTTAGTGCTGAATAATATTCCATTGCCTGGGCATATATACCACCATTTATTTACCCATTCACCTACATGACTCTCTTGGAGTTGTGATGTCCAGTACTCAGAATTTTCTCTCAAGTTCAACATCTAAACTGAACCCAGCCTTCCAGAATCTAGGCATGAGCATTTGGAAGAAGCAGCAAAGTGGTGGGACAATAGTTGGAAGTTACTGGGACTTTGTCAAAGCTCTTTAAAAAACAAAAGAAAACAAAAACCTAATACAGCATTCCCAATTGTATGTTGTTTCCCTTTTCCATCCTTTTACTTGGATTTTTTTCTACGGCTTTACTTAATGGAAGTCTTTTGTAAGTAGCGTATATTTAAGGTTTTTAAAAATCTAGTCTGACAGTATTTGTCATTTAATTAGAGACTTTGAGCATGGTTGCACTTCTAATGTAATTCCTCATAGATTTGGGTTTAAACCTATCATCTTATGGTTTGTTTTGTATTGGCCCTGTCCTCTCTCTTGTTTTTTTCTCTTCTTTCTGGCTTTCTTTTGTATTAATTACTTTTTTTCTTTCACTTTTCCTCTTCTATAAGCTTGTTACACATTTTTTTACTTCCTTTCATGAATATCATAGTAATTATAACACGCACACTTAAATTTTATCAATGTTCATTTTTTGCACAATACAAAAGCCTTAGTGCATTTTTTTACTATTTCCACACAATACAAAAGCCTTAGAGGATTTTAATCCTATTTATCCTTCTCTTTCATTATGTTTTTTGTTATCATGAGTTTTAACACTACACATTTCCCAACCCCAGAAGGCCTAAGAAATATGGTTTTATACAGTCGGGATTTCTGTAGCTTTAACTGCTTATTGACATCTGTTCTTTCCTTGCTGCAGTTTTAGCTTCTACTGAGGTCATTTTTCTTTGGCCTGAGAATACTTAGCTTGGGTTCCCAGCAATGCCGTTTTTCTTTGTCTGGAAAATGCCCTCTAAGTAAATAAATTGCATTATTTGCCCTTTAAATAAATAAATTACTCTGGTTTTGAAGGGTAGCTGGAAAATAGCATTTAAGCTTGACAGTTATTTTCTTCCAGTACTTTTGTGCTTCGGTTTAATTTTCCCTGCTAAACAACAAAGATGATGTGACTTGATATTTAAATCTAGATTATAGCAAATGGTGTGTACAGTATTATATATACCAGGCACCTTGGGCAATGCAAGGATAAGTAAGACAAAAGTCATGCCATCAAGGAATGTGCTTTACTGTTAAATGGAAGAAATGTATACATACTTAGATGATATAAGAGAGTAAATCCACAAAGATGAGAGCGGGGAAAGTGCTGGGTGTACACCTAATCAGCCATTAAGGATCCAAATTGTGAATCAGTTTGTGGCAGAAGATGTGTGCCAGGTGAAATTCCAGTCTTGTCAGTCTGTCACTTAGGGGACGCTATGGTAAATTACTTGGCCTCTCTGCCTCCATTTTCTCCAGAAAAGATGGGAACACCTTAGTGTCTGTCCTATGAGCTGTTGTGAGAATTAGGTGTGACCTGTAGTACTAAGCACGCGGTGAAGGTTTTCTGTTCATAATTGCAATTATTCCCAGGCTCTAGAGACAAGAGAGAGAAAAGAATCTTCCAAACTGGCTCCAACTCATACACATAACAGATCCTGAGCACCAAGGGTTACTTAGTGTCGGGGGAGGTACTGCCACTTC